AAAGTCCCAGAAATAAATGGGATACCAACTGACATGTTCCAAGTAACAGATGCAGCCTTGATATGCTCACCAGCCTGTGCCAGGAAATTTAAAAGATAACTACTTAGCCAACTGACTGGAAGAGATCCATATTTTGTTCTCATTCTCAAGAAAGGTGATCTAACAGAATACAGAAATTATCAAACAGTATCATTAATTTCAGATGCAAGCAGAATGTTGTTGAAAATCATCCAAAAATGCTTAGAAGAGTATGCCGACAGAAAACTGCCAGAAGTTCAAGTTGGGTTTAGAAGAGGCCGTGGCACCCAGGGATATTATTGCTGATTTTGGATGAAAGTAGAGAAGATAAGAAGAATCTCTATTTGTGTTTTATTTAGTATGCAAAGACATTTGATGGTGTGGATCTTAAAGAACTCTGGCCAACCTTGAGAGGAATGGGAATTCCAAAACACTTAACTGTGTCTATATGAAATCTACACCTAGATAAAAAAAACTGCTGTTTGACCACAGCAAGAAACTCTGCATGGTTTAAATTGGGAAAGCTATATGACTGTGTTGTCCCCTTTCTCTGCACCTATTTAATCTGGATGCTGAGCAAATCAAATGACAAACTGGACTTTATGAAGAGTGTGGCATCAGGATTAGAGGAAGACTCATCAGCAATCTACAGATGATACAATCTCGCTAGCTGAAAGTGAGGAGAAATTGAAGCTCTTGCTATAGCCTTCAATATGGATTATGTCTCAGTATCAAGCAAACTTCACTAGACCAACAGGTAATATTATGATAGATGGAGAAAAGAGTGAAATTGTCAATGATTTTATCTTGCTTGGTCGGATCCATAGTCAACACCACCCTTGGTACCACCAGTCAGGAGATCAGTAGGTGTATTGTACTGGGAAAGTCTGTCAAGGATCTCTCTGAAGTCCCTAAGAACAACAGTGTCAGATTAAATACTAAGGTGTGCCTAATTCAGACCACAGTCTTTCCAATCACTTGCTATGCATCTTAGAGCTGGAGAATGAATAAGGATGACAGAAGAATCAATGCATTTGAGTTGTGGTGTTGAGAAGAGTGTTGAATGTCCCACATACTGACAAAAGAACAAAGAACTATGCATTGGAGAAAGTGCAATCAGAATGTTCCTTAGAGGCAAATCTGGTGTAACTTCATCTCACTTATTTTGGACATGTATTTTGGAAAGGATACTACTCCTTGGAGAAAGACATCATGCTTGGAAAGGAGAGGGGTCAGCGAAGGAGAAGCTCCTCAATGAGACGGATTGATGTAATGTCTGCAGCAATGGATTCAAATGTGTGGGGGATAAGGATGGTGCAGGCTAGGACAGAAGTCAGATCTCTTGTTCACAGTGTCACTTTGAGTCACACTCAACTCAATGGCCCTTAATAACAACATCCATCAAGGGGATTCTGGTTTGCAGTTTGTAGTGTTTCACTACTAATCCAAAAGTGATGCCTCTATGGTGGCCAAAATCCATCAGAGTCTCCAAGGGAAAAAGACAGTCATTCACTTCTCATTCAATTTAAAGGCCCCAAAACCTGCTTGGAGGGTAAGCTGTGAGTTGATTCCAACTCACTGGGCATGACAATGAATGAGTGAGTGAGTTTGTAGTTCGAAATTGTTCAAACATGCAATCAAGATACATTAATAAAAATGGATGACTGGGATGCAAAAGTTAAAAACAAAATAGAGAACTGGTAGTTGGAAAATATGGCCTTGGTGACAGAAATGAGCCCTGAGACCATATGATAGAATTTAAACTAAAACAAATTCACAAGAGTAAAAATATGACCTTGAGTATATCCACCAACCCAATAATATATTTGGTGCACTGAGCAGTAATGACTAGAGGAATTGTGAGATGGCATAAAGAGCAAGGACATCACAAAGAAAGGAAAATATAATTTATTAAGATAGCAAAGACCAAAATGAATATCAGAAGAGACTCTGAAACTTGCTATAAAGCAAGGTTTTGTAACAAAGACATGAAGTTAGAAAACCAGAAGAGAACATATTTCAAGCAAAAAAGAACTGAAAAAGAAAAAAAAAAATCCAAGTCTTGAATTGCAGTACTGAAGGATTCTATGGGCAAAATCTTGAATGTTGTGGAAGCATCAAAAAAAAAAAAGAATATAGAATACACAGAATCACTG